CGAAAGGTTGGCAATTTGAACTGACCCAGAGGCTCCTAGGAAGAGAGGCCTAGAGCTCTTCTTCCGGAAGGTCACAACCTTGAAAACCCTATCAACTGCAGTTCTACTCTGCAATACAAATTGTTATTCCAAAGATGAAGTTATTCTAACAATGGTATTTTCATTTATAAGAGTGACTTTATACATGCATATATGAATCCTGAAATAGTTTTTTTGGTCACATAGTCAAATACAGGGAAAAAACTTATTTACTTTGTGTCAATTTAAATAGTCTTTTTTGCCTCATTTCAGCTGTTTAAGAAAAATGCATGAAAAGTTGATATTTTTTATGACTTTTTTTATTAAAGTAAATAAATTATAGACATAGATTCAAGTCTTTTCCAACTGAACACTTGACCAACTTAACCAATGAATATGGTTCATTCATCATCCAGATTAGTGAAGATCTTAAGTTACCAAATGCCCAGGTCAATGAGTTTGTTCCTTTAATGCACATTGTTTTAGGGTGATCTAAATTAAAAGAAAGGAGCCCTGAGGGCCCAACGGTTAAGTGCTCGACTGCTAACAGAAAGGCTGGTGGTTCAAACCCACCCATCAGCTCCATAGGAAAAAGACCCGGCGGTTTGCTTCCATAAAGATTACAACCAAGAAAACCCTATAGGGCAACAGCAACAACAGCAACAAAACTTAAAAGAATGCTTATGCAATGGTAACTTACTAACATTTAATTTGTAGCTCTTTTCCATTGTCAGGCTGTAATGTGGTGGGAAAAAGGTTCTGTTCTGAGCCAGGCTACAAATTTGTAATCTCCGTTTTAAAACTTGCTAAATGTTATTAGATCTAAAGCAAGCCATTTATTATTTCTCTCTTACAAAGTTGGGATAATAAAATTGTCCTGCTTCATGTAAAGAAGACCAAATGAGATCTTGAAAATACCTTGTGTACTATAAAATGCTATAAAAATGCAATATTATTATTACTAAGCAGTAACTTTAGAATAGACTTTCTTAATGCTTCTACAGTTTAGATTATGTTGATTTTATTTAATACCAAAATATTAAATTATAATATAGTACAATGAAATATGTTACAAAGAGTTTCTGTTCTTTGGTTTGATATGCACTGATAACAATCTGATAATTTTATACAAATGTACAAATACTTTCTTTTTAAAAAGTTCAACAATATTACTTCTCATAATGAATATAGAGCTACCTGATATGACATAATTTTAATAAACTCTATATAATAACAAAAAGGAATCAGAGAGAGACCAGAATGGAAACAATTTCAAATTATATTCAAGTCTCCACTGGGAACAATGGGGATTACTTTTTGAATGGTTAGGTTGTAACCTAGGGTATTTGCTGTTGTTGTTGTTTGGTTTTTAAATTTTGGAATGGTTAGAAAGCTCAAGGAGAGGTCTTGTTTCTAAAGTTAATGACTATTGTTTTGGTCAAAATTGTAATAATCCTGTTTATCTTGGTAAATATATTTCACAATTGTAACAATTTAATATACTTAGTAACAGTACATTTCTCTACACAGATACTAGATTTTTTTCTGATGAAGGATAATATTCATTAGGTAATAATTTAATCTGCTTCCCAAACCAAATAAAATATAATTTCAACAGAAATGCTATTAGGTTCAAAAGTAAAGCAAAGAGGAAAATGAGCAATGTTTCTGAAACTGATCACCAATGTAAATTTGATACATAGATGTATCATTATTAGCTAGTATCTAAATTTAAAAGGGATTTATTAAATGATACAAGGGAACTATACTAATTTGTTAATAGTTATTAGCAATTTAAAATGCTACCTGAATAAAACAAAAATATCAGAAAACTGATAACTGTCATACTCTCTCTTTTTTTTAATTCAAGGACACAAACTTCCTGAAAATTGGGTGTATTAAAAAAGATCTCGAAGCAGAAAAACTGTGTGATTTTAGACACAAAACTTTGTCTAAAAAACTTAAGCCTCTCAGGAATTAGGTATTAACAAAGCAATCAAAACATAAAAAACTGGGCTACGAAAATGAAATACATTTAAAAATGTATTTACTTGGGTTCTAATGCTTCAGTGGGACTTACAAAGAGAGGACAGAAGTTGAGACTTCAAAATTACCCAAATTGTGATGACCTGAACACATTTAAGAAAACTTTTGCTACATAAAAAAACAGCATGTCTACAAATAAAATGTTTAGATTAAGAGAATTAAAATGCATTCTTTTGTAACATGGAGAAAAACTTGACAGTTCAATATAATAGCGATGTGGAGCTGACAGATTCAAGATGGCAGCTATACCTTCCTGCTTTTTTTAAACTGTTTTTCTTTTTTGGTTAAAAAAAGTAAAACAGGAGTCGCTGCCTGTCAATTATGGGAGTTAACCTCACCTGCAGCATTGTTTGGCCAGGAATTACTCTGTCTAGGGTATCCGTTGAACAAATACAGACTTCATATTTTAATATTACCTTTGGCAAAGTCTTGTTTGTGAGCAACCTTGCTAATAATAATCAAGGCAGTGTTGGAACTGGTGGCCCAGTGGTCTCACACTAGATGTCCTTGTTAGCTGCCGTTGTGTCAGACCCTGACTCATGGTGAGTCAGGCACAACAGGATTTGACTGTTGTGATCCATAGGGTTTTCAATGGCTGATTTTTGGAAGTTGACCACCAGACCTTTCCTCCTAGTCTGTTTTAGAATGAAAGCTCTGCTGAAACCTGTTCATCATCATAGCAACGCACACGCCTCCACTGACAGATGGGTAGTGGCTGTGCTTGAGGTGTATGGCCAGGAATTGAACCCAGGTCTCCCACATGGAAGGCGACAAGTCTATCACTGAGCTACCGCTACCCAACTATTACTAGATGAGTGAGATAATGCTGCAGGTAGGTGAAATATAAAAGAAATTTCATTTGAACTGAGTTAGAGCACAGAGGAGTCAATCTGATGAAGATAGCTTCTCCCAGCCATTCACGTGTGGAATTCCGAATTCCAGCTGAAACACAGGAGATTGAAGCAAAGAGGGGATTTTAGCATAAAGATATCAACTGAAGATGCTGGCAGGAACGCTACCCAGTGCTATGACTCCAGAAGAGTAAAGATAAAAGAGGTCAACATTAAAGAGGAGGTGATTAGGAGGAGAGAGGAGGGGAGGGAGAAAGGAGGCAGAGTGTATGACATCATGTGCCAGTGATGAGAAAGTTAGGTTCAAATAAAGGACAATAAATTAAAATCCAGGAGAATTCAAACAAATGCATCAGTTCGACTCATAGTAGTAGAGTGTTTTACTTGTCATTAAGAACCCTATGCTCTATCCACTTGCAGCAATTGTTCCCAGGGAGAAAAAAACATATTTTTCACATCGCTTCTTCTTTCTCCTATACCCTCTGTCAAAATTCTCCTTCCTAATCTAGGAAAATTGGACTGATATTTCAATCCACAGTTTGCATGTCACTTCTCTGAAGCTCTTCATGCTCTGTCTCCACCAATTAACTCCTTCTTCTGTGCTCCCATAGCACTTTTATTGAGAGCTCGCATTTGGCACTTATCACATTGTTACCTGGTTCTTTCCAACAGTGATTTATTGAGCTCCCACTCTGCTCCATGTCAGGCATCATGCTGGGCACTGGCAGCAGAAATAAATTAGATACAGACCCTGCCCTCAAGGAGCTCACAGTCTAGAAAGGGAGTCAAGGACGTAAACAAATGAATCACACCATCGTGAAACATGTGGCTATAAAAAGTATGTATAAGGCACAGATTTAACACAGAAAAGGTGATTAGATTGATCTAGGGATAGGAGGATCAGGAAAGACTTGCAGATAAGATGATGGAAAATTATGTCGCTGTCTGCTTTCCTTATGTCATTATGAGCTCTTTAAAGACAAGGGTTATGTCTCACTCATCTCAGTATCGTCATCATCTAACATAGTGCCTAGCACATAACAGATGATCAAGATCTACTAGTGCAATACTAATTGAAAGGGTCGGAATCTGGTTCTTTTGAAAGTGGAAAGTATCTATAAGTTCAATTTCTTTATATTCTAGATAAACTTTTTCTTCGTTTTATTTTGTTTGATGCCTTCCTCTATCATCTCTCTATGTATTCACGTGTTTGGAATGAATAACCAAGTTGTTTTCTTTTGGTCATGTTGACTATGAAATGACCATTCTATATTAGACATCATTTCTTCTGCTTCATTCTCTCTTTCACTTCCAGGTCCTCTTAATCTATTAGCCTAAAAGAAAATAAAAGTATGTATCTCTAATCCACTAGCATAAGAAAATGGTTAGGAATCAAACTAATAGAATTTTGTAGATTTTTTTTTGAAAAATACCTTTTTCTTACGAAACATGTATTTTGCAAACATTAACATTGATTTTAAATAACTTATTACAAACAAGGTTAAAATAAAAAGCAGGAGTGTCTTTGGCATTAGGCCAGTTTATATCTAACATGTTATTACAAAATAGGTGACGCCAAATCCTTTTTGTTAAGTGTCTTTTAAGCCATGAAACCTGGTAGATTTCCATTAAGTTGAATGTAAAGGGCATAAAAAGTACTTTTGTTTGAACAGACATGTTTTGTGTTGAAAAAAATGAACTCATAAACAGATTTCAAAATGTTATACTGATGACTCCATATTTTTAAAATGCTTGCCTATGATCTTCAGGATAAGCAATTTCAAAACAACAGTTGGGCATCTCTGTAGATCTGGAATGAACCCAAACTTATGATAAGGACATGTTATAGAATTTCATTTCCATATTTCCCTTTTCGGTATGACATATAAAATAGAAATATTTAATTTAAAGGGCGTAAAATTCACATCGTCACCATGAATAAAGAACCCAGTTTACAGATGTCTACAAATGAAGAAATCTGTTAGCTGATTATGTAGCAACTTGACTCTGGTTCTCAACATTTCCTTAGCTTATGTTCCTTGACACCATATGCTACAGGGAACAGTAAAGACATCTGAATTCAAATATTTTGAAGAAATGTGTATTTAGCAACTGAATACATGCTAAAAGAAATAATTTACAGCAGCAGTTTCATTACATTTTTCTCTCCAGTTTTCTAGTTCCCATCTGAAATGCAATGATAAATACAGATATGGAACATATTTACTACCTGGTAAAAAACATGCTTAGTGAATGGGCATACACCTTTTGCCCTTAAATAGCACATAAACCACCTTGTCACCTGTGGGGGAAAAATCTTGCATTCTAGGATGATGTTGAACACATTGAAATGGAATACCTAGAAAAAGTTGTATTTTACACTGTTCTTCTCCTTCTTTTCAAAATTATTTACATCTCTTTTGCCTAATGTGTAGGTAGCAAATATTGAACTACTAAACACATACCACTGAAAATCACTAAATAATACATAAAAAGAAGCCTTAAGTGTGCGTTTACATGCGTTTACATTTTACATTTGATTTCATCTGGGCCATGATTTCTCTGCTGATGCCCCTTTTGCCTATCTTGAGACTGCTGTCATACTTTGCTTAAGATCACATGAGTCTCTGAACACAGTTTCATCTCTGATGATACATGTATATGCCAAAGACTATTAAAACTAAATTAAATAGGACATTATTTTTCATGCAGACTGCCCCTCTCAATACTCATTGGCAGAAGGTTATGACTGTAATGAGTTATTTACTTGCAAGTTATAGCTTTAATTTTTTTTGAAACTTAGACCTGATAGTTTATAAATACATGCCAGTAGACTGGTTCGTGTCTTTTAATCAAAGTCTTGACTTTCTTTCTATTGGTATTTCGTAGCTAAACAAAATGCATTCAGGTATGGGAAGGCATCCCTGCAGTTATATAATCTATATCCCTTAAAATCCCTTTTTTGAAGACTAATAAGAAATCAGGTACTTCTGTTATTGCAGATAAATTTGTTTCAGCTGCAAGTTTAAAATGAAATGCAACACTGCATTTTAGTACAGTTAAGATACTTGATGTATGCAAGAATGACCTATTTGGAGCATTCTTTGTTCTTTGATTTATATTTCAAATACTTTTTTTCTGTAAAGGAGTGTGTCCTTCAAATAATTTAACAATTCATCTTCCACTTCAGGATGTACTTCTAAAAGCAACACCAGATTAGTCAATGAAGCCTAAAATTGAATGTAGAATATTTTTTAGGCTTTTTCATTTGAAAGACGCATCAACAAATTGTTTATTCAAAGGAATCATTAAAACTGAAACATGAGCTTCCATCTGTGAAATATTTCAGCTGATGGGGAATTTTAAAAAATTCACTGTAGTCTGAGGTGAGAAATTAATGCTGAGTTAATTAGAATCCCAAGACAGCTAGGGTTAGAATTTCAATGCTGCTTCATTAATTAGCATTAAGATGTTTTCTTTGCATTTTTTTTTTTTTTTTTTGTGCATGATGGACCTACAGAGGGATTCCTAGAAAGGTGAGCGCAGTGCAAAAGAAACAGTATTGTAATGCTGAAGGTCTTATGCATCTTGAAGTCAATGATTATCAATGAATCGTCATAGAACAATAATGCAGGCAAGCCCTTAATTAATAGGATTTTATCACAATTTAGAAGTTGTTGCAGAGGATGAAGAGTTTTACATTGCTTAAGTGGGGATTGTGTCTTGGACAACAGTTTATATAAAAGTCACTCCTGTTGAGATAAAAAAGAGTTGTGTTCTTTAGACAGATTAAGTGTCTTAAGGTGAGATAAGTGGCAGTTAGCAAATGACTGATACAGATATAAACAGAGTTGGAAAATTTGCCTTTATGATGTTTGTTTTAATATTATAGATCTTCTCTCTCTTTTTAAAAAAAATGAAGTGATACAAATGTAATCCCCAATGGAATCAAGAGAGAGTTTTTTTATGTCTCAAATATCATGTAGGGATTCAAGTACAGAATGAAGAGACATTTTCTTTTAACACTATATTAAGACAACGCTTTTTAGTTTCATGACATACACAGTTCGTTTTCTACTCATTAATCCACTAGAAGCAATAAAATGCATTTAACAAATCAATTATTTTCCCTTTTTTTCCTGGTTAAAGGCCTTTTCGTTGTTTTTATGAGAACAGTACGCAGGTTAAATTTAGATAATACTTAAAGCGGGAAGGTGTGAAAGGCTTCCATTCGTTTAATATCCTCAGAAAAATAAAGAATAATTTATATCTAGGTTTTAGGAAACAACTGTTATAGATGTATATGTGTTTCTAAGACAATATCAGCTATCCCTCTTATCGAACTGAAAAGAAAATTAAAAAAATAAAAAGCAGCACAAAATTGGAATTTTTAAAACAAAAACTATATAGCACAATATTTGTAAGACAAAAACCTACTCTAGCTTAGAAAAAGAACTAATTTTTACTGCATATTTGTCATGGTACATTTAAATTATAGCTTTAATAAAATACATCTTTAGATCAAAGCTGAAAGAAGACATCAGTAGTAGATCAGTGTATTCCATTGTTCTTCTGGATGCTGGATGGTTTATGTTTTTTATATTTCCACAGACCATTTGATTCAGTATCATTTTACTCCTCCAGTACATACAAACAAGAGTGCTGGTAGACAAAAAATATCCTTGAATCCAACCACATTTTGGAATAGTCATCAGCTTACTAAATCCATGCAGTTTATTTTAAACTTTTAGTTCAGTAAAATGGCTTTGCTGATGCAGTTTTTCTTCTTTAGATGGCAATATGGCAAATGACATTTTTATTTCTCAGGCAAAGAAGAAGGTGAAACCTGTACAATGAAATCTTGTAGGAAACATTAAGTCTGCTAGAGTGAATATCCGCATTCACCTGTGACCTCTACTAGGTGTTGGTATTAGGAAGAAAGCCTGTTTGTTAGGAAAGTTACTCATGGACTTAATTTATAATTGGTGGAACTCAGCTGAATTTCCCACCGTTGTAAACATCCACATAATGCCATGAAAAGAGTTCAGGTATATTGCATTTTTTTCCAGTTATTGTCTAAGCAAGTTTCTACTTGTTTGAGGTTTCTAGAGGTAATGCAGCTCAGACACTCCTGGGTGCCCTCTCAAATTCATGGGTCCTCCTGTTTCTACCTTTTTTATTTTCCTGTAAGTGCTTCCATTTATTAGTGTTCCCTTGGGTATGTCCAGGCCTTTGCCGACGTTGTTTTCGGTCCCTTTTCCAAACTTGTTCACAGAACTCATCCATTGTGTTCAGGTTTGGGTGGTTGATGAGCTGCATGAAGTCTCTGTACCAGACCTTCTGGCTAGGTGTCATGCTGTTGGAAATCTCTTTGGTCTTAGAGCCATCTCCATCATCATCTTTATGAAGAAGTTCTTCCAAATGCTCTGTGTCAATGACTTCCAAGGTCACTTTAAGAAGAGTTTGCATGAATCCATGTTCAACAGCATGACAGAGGTAATTGCCTGAATCTTTCCGCTGTAGGCTGCGCAATAGAAGGCCTTGTTCTGTCCTGATGATATGATCATCTACTCTGATCTGGGGGGAAAAACGCAATAAAGAGTGTATATATATATATATATATATATATATATATATATATATATGTACATATGGGTCAGAATCAACTCAAGGATAATGGGTTTTGGTTTTTTATATTTAAAAGAAGTATCAGTTCTGAGACACTGTGTCAGTAAAAATTTAGGCTATGTGTTGAATATAACAAATATCAAATATATTTTCAACAGTAAATAACATTTCTAATTTAAGAGAAATGACAGCATTTTCCCTTCAGGAAAAAAAGATTATAATCTCCATTAATTATTTTAAGATGCATATAAAATATTGGTTGTACTACTATTTTAATAGAATTTTCTTAATAACATAATAGTTTAAAATATGCAAGATAAATGGAGGAAGAAACAAAGATATACTTTATTTTATAAATCTAAAAACCAGGTTGCCGAGTCAATTCTGCCTCATGATGACTCTATGTATGTCAGAGTAGAACTGTGCTCTATGGGGTTTTTCAGTGGCTGATTTTTTTGTAAGTAAATTGCCGGGATTTTTTTCTGAGGGGCCTCTGGTTGGACTTGAACCCCCAATCTTCTGGTTAGCAGCTGAATGTGTTAACCATTTGCACCACCCAAGGATTCCAGAAATACAAAAGTAGGTATATAAATATGGGAGAAAGGTAATGTTGAATATTGATATTGGAAAATACTAAATGATTCTTTAAAAATGGGGTGTTAGAATGACTTATAATAAGCAAATTGAAAAATGAAATTAAAAAGCAGCAGTTGAGCAAGCAGAAGAAAAATGTTTAATAATTATTCAATTTCCTATGTCTAGCAACATGCTCTTGAATATATTCAGTACACCTACTCCTCACTTATTGACTATCTCATTCAACATTTCGCATTTACAATAGTAAGAAATCTACTATGAGAATATTTTGTACATTAATGACGTATGTCTGGCAGTAATGAATTCTGAGGCATGAGACGAGAGTAATGCTGGCTATGATGGTTAAGGTTATGTGTCACCTTGGCTGGGCCATGATTCTCAGTGGTTCGGCAGTTATGTAATGATGTAATTTGGCAGTTATGTAATAGCATAATTTGGCAGTTATATAATGATGTAATTTGGCAGTTATGTAATGATGTAGTCATCCTCCACTTTGTGATCTCATGTCGTCATCCTCCATTGTTTGCATAATGCCTATTTTCACATATGACCTAGTCTTTGGAATCTAACCATGTCAATAAGTGAGGAGTGGGTGTATATTCAATCTTACTTTTATTTTGAATAAAATTTACAACAAAGATCTCTGAAAGCCTAAGAAGGTAATGTATGAAATGAACCTTATCATTTATATGATATGATTACATAGTTTAAAGGCTCTGTTTGAAATGTCAAAAAGATTATGGGAGGATTTTTATTTTTATATTCAGAGTATTTTCATACATTTGCACATAACACATTTTACAAATCAACTAAATAGTCTGGTCACCATTGTCTATTTTTTTAAAGGCTTTAAAGGAGTCTTTACATTTCAGAGGAATCACTGAGATTTTCTGTGCACAATTCTCTAATTTACAGAGGAAGACATGGATCCATGAGGAGGAAGATCTGCTTGATGTTATATCATTAGTTCATGTCAGAGTTGAGACTGGGACCTCAGATGCTTCATCATAAATCTTCTACTACTCCCTATCCACCTCCCCTACTTGAGGAAGTTAGTGGAGAAAGGAAAGCATGCTCAGATAGCAGAAATAAATGGACAAAAATTAAAATTAGTGGGAGTATTTGATTTTTTTATGTGTACAAATATATAGATAATGTAATTGCTTTTGCAGATAACCACATGAAGAAATAAGAAAACTCTGAAATATATCCCATGGTAGCTGTAAACTCCTTCAGGGACAGAAACTCTTATCAGTTTCCCTTTGTTCATCTAACTCTTAGCACTAAGCCTGTCATATAATGGGCCTTCAATGAATACTTGTTTAATGAATGAGCTATGGATGGTTTAAGAAAAAGATAAAGCTTTACAGTACTTTTTATCCCCCTTAATGTCAAATATGCTGGAGTCACTTAACAGTATATTAGCTAAAATAATCCCATCTGTTTCATTCCCATACCTCTTCTTTTCGTTCTTCATTCCGCCTCTGGAATTGCCAGTAGACCAGAGCCCGCTGTGACTTTGGACTGCACTCCAGGAACGTGCTACTATTTTCTACTCCATAGATGATTCTTTCTTCAAGGCTGTGGCCATGGTGATTATCTAGCCGGTGAAGAGGAAACGGAATGGGAAATGTTAAAGGAGCAATCTCAACTTTCCAAAGTATTTATTTGGAAATTTATGAGACAAGTTTGTTGCCAAGTTGAAAGACTTCTACAAATTGATTGAGGATGGCAGATATGTCAAGGATGTAAGGTTTCAGAACCCAAATGCCTACCTAAATAGACTAATCATTTTGGTATGGGTTATATAAAGCATATGCAGTGATTTGTCTACCAGAAAATAGCATAACATTAACAAAATCAGTCATGTGTGAAGTATAACTCTACATCTTTATATGCCATAATAATATTCTATGTGAAATTATTTTCACTGCAAAATTCTATGCTCTGAGTAATGGGGCCAGCAGAAAAGTTATTGTACCAGCCTAGTGGAAACAAGAATCTGTTTCTGAGAAATTATTTTACCTCTTTGTGTTTGTTTTTCATCTGTATAATTAAATTCATCGACCAATAATATTTACCTAGTGTTTTGCAGAAGGTAGAGTTCAGGAAGTTGAAACTCCCCACCAATAACCCCTAAATAATCCACAAGTTTGTTCTGAAGATCAATTGGTATGAAATGTTTGGGATGGCTCAGAAGAAAGATACATAGCTATAATGCAATGTGGTTTCAATTGTCCTTTTTTAAAATGACACATCTTTTATTATTTTCAAGAATTAGGCTAAGGAATATGGCAAGAGTATATAATAAAATACAGCAATAAGAAAATCTGTTTCCTGATTTTCTATTATTTTACCCTTTATGTAACCTCCTTCAATGTGGTAAATGAAACACAGTTGAGATCAAAAGTACGACACAGGGAGTCTAGGTAAAACTCATTTAGAGAAAAAAAACTCATTATAATCTTGTGTAATCCTGTTTCCATTATGACATCCTGTACAATCTGGAACTCATTAAATTAATTTAGGAAATAATAAATATATTTTCACATGCATAGGGAAGCTGACAGTGTAGACAGATGAAAAATTTTTGCTTTCTACTCTGAACTCAGCCAGACTTTTAATTAAAAAAAGGTTTTCCCCCCTTTTTGGCATCACTTTGACAGTTTTACTCTTTTCATAATCAACTGAGTACTTTTGTCTGTCATAGCTGATATAATTTGCTCTCATTAGGGTAAAAGCTTTCCAAAACGCTGCTCCATCCAATCCCTGTTACCACCTTTGTCCATCCTCTCTTACTCTCCCCCTGCCTATAATTGACCTTCTGCCTTTATTTGCTATCACCAGAGATGCCAACCTCACTGCCTTTTTCTCTATTGCCCTAGATGTGAAATTCTTATAACATTGGGAAGTTATTTGTCTATTGTTACTTAAAAGATCAAGCCCCTGGATATAAGAAAATCTAAGAAATGAATGAAATGGGAAAAAAAAGAATAATATTTAATTGATTCCAAGATACTATATCTACATCGAAAACAATAGGTTTTATTTTTCTCTGAAATTTTTAGTGTATCTTACAATCAATGACATCTTTGAATAAATATGATAAATGTTTCTGTGCTAGTTTTCAAGACTTTTGCTTCCCTAGATATAGGTGAACCGAATCACTACACCCTTCAGGGACTGGAATATCTCCAATGATTCAGGAGCCACGATAAATAATTAGAATGTCTTGTCATAGAGGCCAATATATACACAATGAACACATTTCTCTCTGCTAATTGTTTTGCAGTTTAAACTTTTTGACCAACAAATCCATATTTTTAGCAATTGAACTTACATTCAATCTCTTTATATGAATTAATCATAAGATACACAGCACACCAGGAAAAATGCACTGGATTTAGAAACAAATGACATGTGATCTACCAGGAACTTCTCACTCACCAGGCATGCCTCCAGGCCTACTTTTTCCATGTAGAAGTTTATGATAATAATTGACTTGTTGCTCGCCTAGGGTTGCTGTAAAGTTCCAAAGGTATAAAGTACGAGGACATACCTGTCTAAGTTAGTGTAGAAACAGACGGTATAAGCAAGTTACTTCTCTCAAACATAGAACTCTGTTTAAATTCGTCAATACATTAGTTGTTACATAGCTGAGAAGAACAGTGTAACTTTTATAATAGGAAGGAAGAGAGTTTTAATATAAATGTAACATCAGTTGCCTCATATGCATGCGAAAGCTGGACAATGAATAAAGAAGACCAAAGAAGAATTGAAGCATTTAAATGATGGTGTTGGCAAAGAATATTGAAAACACCACGGAGTGCCAAAAGAACGAACAAACTGTCTTGGAACAAGTACAGCCACAGTGTTCCTTAGAAGCAAGGATGGCGAGACTTGGTCTCACGTACATTGGATATGTTATTAGGAGGAAGCACTCCCTGGAGAAGGACATCATGTTTGGTAAAGTACAAAATCAGGGAAAAAGAGGAAAACCCTCAATGAGATGGACTAACACAGTGGCTACAGCAATGGGCTCAAACATAGCAACGACTGTGAGGATGGAACAGGATCTGGAAATGTTTCTTTCATTTCTATTGTACATATAATTCAAAACCGACTTGACGGCACCTAACAACCCATCGTTTTTTATCACTGAGTTGTCTTCTTCCTAATTAATTTAATCATTTACCTGATTCACAGAGATAGCTTTCTGTTAACTTTTCTTATAGTCTTGGGAAATGTTCAGTTTTTGCTTTCTCTTTAAGACCTTCTCTGGTGGTGGCAAACTTTTCCAATGTACCCCCACTCCCAAAAAAAAAAGGATAAAATTGATTGTTGTAATAGTAATTGTTTTCTTATATTTAAAAATATTTCATTTTATGTGCTACTGAATTATAGTACAATCTAATATAAGATGATATTTGACTTAACAAAGAATTTATACCAAGTTGGTCTTAGATGAATATAGCACTATTTCATGGTCTTCTTTAAGAAACACCATGACATTCAGGTACTTTTTCACCTGAAAAAGCTTAAGAACCACAACTGCAAATTTGGTTCATTGTCTTGGTGCTTTTGTTAGTTTGCTTGGATAACTACTCTCGCCAATACCTTAAGGCTTCATTCTCCTTCAAATTGTTCATCTCTTTCAATCCTTTGTCCAACAAAAGAAAGAAAGAGAGAAATCTAGCTAGTAACCACTGAACCTGCCATATTAACTCCCAACTGTGGTCAGTTTACAGATGTACTATCACATTTCTTTTGAGGTTCTCCTATTTTATTATTTTGTTAGGTTTTGCTGCTATCAACAGTAATCACAAAAAGTAAATTTGTATTGACTAAATTTGTTTCTGCTAAGTCCTCTGCAGCTGAACTTTTCTATCATCAGAAACTTTTACTTTAGGATCAAATCTTTCATTTAAAGTGGACCTTAGTCCATCCCCAAATGTTTGAGTGCTGAGACGTAATTGTACACATTTTTCTGTTAATTTTCCTACACCTGCCACCTCATAAGCATACACACAATAAATATGTTAGAATAATGATGAGAAGGCACTCACTAAATACCCACTACTTTTCCTGACCTTCTACCATAACTATTTGCATACATTTTGTACAGACTGGGAAGCGTTAGACATTCAATAACATTGTCTCAACTCTCTTTATGTATCTTTAAAAATTTACAGACATGAACAGTTTTTTCATTGTGGTCTTCTAACCTTATTAGATTCTTCAATTTTCTCTGGGAATGTTAAAAATCCCATTGCTGTTGAGTCGATTCCGACTCATAGCGACCCTATCGGACAGAGTAGAGCTGCCTGTTAAACATACTGTTAATTTGACTGTTTATTAATGCAAAGGATTCTGCATAGAAATGGCAGCATGGAATAGTCGCACTCTAAGTGCTTCTCAGGGAGTATAAAATTGAACTCAATATAAATCAAAAACTCAACCGAGAAAAGCAGTGTTGATTAAAGATTTCCTGAAGGGTATGTAACCTTGCATATTCAGGGTAAGGATAATCTAAAATCTCTCTCTGGATTAAACCAGTTGATCTGAGACGTACTTACATGGAACACACTGTGTTAACCCACCAGATAATCAATTTCATTGGATTGTGTTTGGTATAGTGTTCCTGCCCTATACTGAGGGAGCCTCTAAGAAATACCTTATAAAGTTGCTCACTGTGTTTATGTCACAGTATTGTTGGGTATGGTGTTCACCGCATTGCATTGTTTTCTCTCTATTCACCTTTGGGAACTTTTTCTTTTTAGTCTTAGTTTCCAAAAATTATTGAGATTTTCTTGAACAACTGATTTTTCTTAGTAGACTTTGTAACTCATCAGTCAATCATATTACCCCCTCTGCAATGGCTGATAATAAGCTATGAGACAAATTTGTTTTGTATTTCTAACATCTTGTTGCACACCCTGTTTTTTTCTGAGTATACCTGCTTTGTCTATGTGTTCTCTTTGTTCCCTTTATCTTATCTTCATTTTTAACAATCACAAATTATCTTAATGATATTAATCATTTAGCAATTATAGAAATTTCAAATTTGTAACTATTTCAATAGCTTATTTTTGTTCTCAGAATATGTCTATGTAAAAACAATATTCCAGTGTCTGGATACAGTAATAGTCATAAATATGTGAGGTGATATTATGATTATTGATATTGTTGTGATAGTTTAAATTGTTAATCCAATTTTTTTTTTTTTTTACAAAGACAGAGTTGCTGCCTTTCTTTTATTTCATTTTTTCTTGTACTTTAAATGAAGGTTTACAGAACAAGTAGCTTCTCATTAAACAGCTAGTACACATATTGTTTTATGGCAATGGTTAACAACTCCACGACATGTCAACACTGTCCCTTTTCAACCTTAGGTTCCCGATTACCAGCTTTCCTGTCCCCTCCTGCCTTCTAGTCCCTGTCACTGGACTGTTGTGCGCCATTAGTCTAGTTTTGTTTTATGGGGCTGTCTAATCTTTGGCTGAACAGTGAACCTCAGGAGTGACTTCACAACTGAGCTAAGGGGTGTCCAGGGGCCATTCTCTTGGGGTTTCTCCAGTCTCTATCAGGCCAGTAAATCTG